TGAGATCCCAGCTCCTGGCTTCAGCCTGGCCCAGTCCCAATATAATGAAGGTGCAACTGCAATAAATATAATAAATATAATAGATGCTGATTTTTATTCAACAACTATGAAGATGCAGACACAGAGCTAAAGGCTTTACCATTTTGACAGGCCAAGAGCATGAGTTCTCACTCACTGATTCACTGCCAAAACATCTATAACAGCCGGGCTGGGCCAAGCCTAAACCTGGAACCAAGATCTCAATCCAAGTCTCCCTCATGATGGCAGGGACTGAAAGACCGAAGCGTAAGGGCTGCTTCTGCCTGATGAGCGCACAACCCAGGGAGTGTGCCTAGGCAATCTGTGATCTCCCCATTTTAAAGATGAAGACACTGAACCCTGAACCAACAGCTCCCTTGTTCATGGTCCCATAGCTGCTCAGGAGCCAAGCTGAGACCTGAAGCCAAGAAGTCCTCAAATCTGGATTTTAATTTCTCTACTCCACTGCCCAGAAGTATCAAAGTTTATCAAAACTTGCCATTAATGAATGAAAACTTTAAAGAACAACAATTCTTAAAATGCCCAGACTTCCCTAAAAAGAAGCCCTTTGAGAAAGCAAGACCATTTGTGTTGCTTCCGATCCTGGAACTTGTTAAACAACATTACTATGCTTTTCCAGCTCAGACACTGGGCAGTGCTAACTTTCGGGATTCTCCTTGAAATATCCTCTGGGGTCCTTTTCTGCCTAATTTTCCCCAGACCTTTCTTTGTTCTTTTTTAGTAAAACATTAACAGCTCTGCCTCATAGGGCGCTAACAACAGAAAGACATCCTGTAACTGATGTAGTCTGCAAACGTAATCACATGCAAGTACTTGTATAAAATTATAATTTGTGGGCAGGAGGGACTAAATGGGTGTTATTTATTCAAAAGTCTCTTTTAAGTCCATCAGATGATAAAGAATACACACCAAAACATCACAGAGATAGAAAGAACCCTCGAGTCACTTCACAAGGAGAAAATAAAATCTCTCCAGGAAAGAAATCCAGGTTTATTTTATCTTAAATCAGACCAAGGGAATTTAGGCTACCTTTTTTTAATCTACTTGTGCATAATGATCTCTCCGATTAATCATACTGTTTAATAGAATATTATTATTAATTAGACATGTCAGTGCTTCAGGCAGAAAATTGCTGGGAAGTAAAAAGGTCTGTATTCCAAAGGCTCCTAAGAGAAAGATTTCCACTTCTATCACCACACATCCCTTTCAGTTCCAATTCTCAGTGGGAATATCACACATTCAGTCCTTGCAACTCTGATGTTTAGAAGCGTTTCCCATTTAAGAGACAGTGGAACTCGTGTTTGCCTTGTACAGTATTTTCTGTTATTTGAAAGCCAATTACATTTTCTGAGGGCATATGAGCTCTGAAGGAAGCCTTCCAGAGTCGCCCAGGTTTTATCATCTCTCACAAGGGGGCTTGCACAAGACTGAGGCAGGCCAAAGAACAACAGGGTCATCATTTCCATGTGTCAGGCTTGGGACTGGGTCTCATTTTCTTCTCCACTCCCCTACCTTTAGCTTCCTCACTCCAAGTATCTAAGCCAATAGCCAAGTCCCTGCCTTAGCAATAAAAACAGAGGCCAGCAGAATCAGACTCTGAATTTCTGGCACACCTGCATGGAGAATTCATATCTTCACTGGTGTCCTGTACCTTATCTGCCCCCTCCTCTCAGGAACCTCCCTGGGTCAATCATCCCTCTCACCCCTCAGCTTAGGTGGTAAGTATGTGACCATTAGTAAAATGCATGCAACACATTAACCAAAACCACCACCTCTGCACTCTCACCTTCCCTCCATGGCTAAGCTTCTGAAATTACCGATGAGACCAAGAGTCCTGTTAAGACCATGTGTGGGCCGGCACCGCGGCTCACTAGGCTAATCCTCCACCTTGCGGCGCCGGCACTCTGGGTTCTAGTCCCGGTCGGGGTGCCAGATTCTGTCCCGGTTGCCCCTCTTCCAGGCCAGCTCTCTGCTGTGGCCCGGGAGTGCAGTGGAGGATGGCCCAAGTAGTGGGCCCTGCACCCCACGGGAGACCAGGAGAAGCACTTGGCTCCTGCCATCGGATCAGCACGGTGCGCTGGCTGCGGTGGCCATTGGAGGGTGAACCAATGGCAAAGGAAGACCTTTCTGTCTCTCTCTCTCTCACTGTCCACTCTGCCTGTCAAAAAATAAATAAATAAATAAAGACCATGTGTGAAGACCCTGCAACAGGAAAGAGCTCAACCCTTTGAGAAACACAGAGACTTGGGTGGCTGAAAAGTGGCAGGCACAGGAAGGGCCACAGGATGCTGGTCTTGGGAACCATGAAGGATTTCAACCCACCCCACGATGTGACTTGAAGATTAAATAAAGATGTGTACATTAAATGCATCATGCAGATAATAAAAGGTAGCTAAGATCATTCTAAAAGCTATGGCCCCAACTCTTTTTTTTTTTTTAAGATTTATTTATTTAAAATCCGAAGTTACACACAGAGAGGAGGGAGAGGGGGAGGGGAAGGGGGAGAGGGAGGAGGAGGGGGAGGGGGAGGGGGAGGGGGAGGGGGAAGAAGCCTTCCATCTGCTGCTTCACTCCCCCAAATTGGCCGCAATGGCTGGAGCTGCATTGATCCAAAGCCAGGAGCTAGGAGCTTCGTCTGGGCCTCTCATGTGGGTGCAGGGGCCCAAGGATTTGGGCCATCTTCTATTGCTTTTCCAGGCCATAGTAGAGAGCTGGAATGGAAGTGGAGCAGCCAGGACTCGAACCAGCGCCCATATGGGATGCTGGCACTGCAGGCAACGGCTTTACCTGCTACACCACAACACCACACCCAACCCCAACTCTCTTCTAACTTCACCAGGGCACCCTCCAAAGCTGCAGAAGGGAGAAGAATCCTTGTGCTGCTTGGTTTGAAGTCCAACTGAGGATGCAGGAAAAAGATTTGATCTCTCAATATATAGAGAGGACTCACTCAGCAGTGTTGCAAATAGCATTGGATGGACTCACAGAAGCCATAGTCAGCACTATCAAAGTACGAAAACACCAGAAAAACTAAAGCTTGCTCAGAAGCTCCTATCCTGACAGGTAAAGGCTGGGTAAGAGACGTGACACACTGGGCTGGAATCTGTCAATGAACGATGACTCCGTCTCACAAGACAATTACATTCAAAAAATCATTCTAGACCACAAAAGGAAATGCTGACAAGAACACATCTGGAAGAGACGATGAGGTCTGAGCGTGCCCTGTAGATTACACAGTGATAACGTGTCTAAGCTGGGCTTCATAGATTTGGTGTGATTGTGTCAAAGGACACTCTTGCTCTTAGAAAATGTACACAGGATGATGAAGGGACCAAAAAGCCTCAATGAGGCAGCCTATTCTGAAAAGATCTGAAAATTACTGACAAATGTGGATACACAGAGAAAGCAGAAGTACAAGTGTTAAATCAGTGTATCTGAGTAAAGGGTATAAGGCGATTTTCTGTGCTGTTTTTGCCACATCAGGGGTTCAAAGGCAAGACCCTGAGCTTTTCTCTGAGCTCCAACATTGCCTCTTTCCATCCAGACCACTCTGCAGTGCCACCTGCTGGCATCCTCCCCTAGCGGAACTGGTAGTCTGTTTTCCTGGGTTTGGCGTGGCAGCACAGACACACTTGGGATGCCCACCCAAGGCTGGAGCCTTGGCTTCCACTCCCAACTGTGGCTTCCTGCTAATTCACACCCTGAAAGGTAGCTTGTGATAGCTCAAAGATGGGGACCCTGCCAGTCACATGGGAGACCATGGGAGACCTGGAGTAAGTCGCTAGCTTCTGGTTTAGGCCTGACCCAACCCCAGACATTGCAGGCATTTGTGGAATCAGTCAGCAGATAGGAGATCTATGTCTCTGCTTCTAAAATAAAAATGAAAATTTTAAAATCCATCTTGCATGTACTATCCATTTTCACAGTAAGTAAGACATGTAAGCCACAATGATTGCACCAAAGTCAAGCACAGAATTGTAGAGTAAGTCTGTGGGTGCTCTCTCCTCATTCTGCATCCTGCAATACTGCAATCAATATTGAATTCCTATATAAAATGAGTGATAAATACAGTCCAAACTGTGGATGGAAATTGTCTACTGGGTTCAACAATTATCAATGACCTAGGAAGAATTTAAAGTAGAAAAATCATAAGAACGTAAAAGAACAAATCCAGTTGTCCCATAAAAGCATCCAAATCTCCCTCAAAGAAATCAGGTCTGCAAAGTTTTCCATTGCTAAGGTGGTTACACAGTCCCAAAAAGGCCCTGAACTGTGAGAGAAGGCAAAGCAAGAAGACACCCACTCTTTGGCTCACGTGGGTCTCTCTAGCCGGCTGGCTCCTCTTCTGATGACCACATAAAGACCAAGATTTTTTTTTAATGTATTTATTTATTTTTAAAGGCAGACAGACAGACAGACATGTTCTACCTGCTGGTTCTCTTCCCAGATATCCCCAACAGCTCAGGCTGAGCCAGGTAGAAGCCAGGAACTCATTCTAAGTCTCTCATATGGGTAGCAGGGACCCAAGACCTTGAGCCGTCGTCACCTGTTGTCTCCCAGGGTGCACAATAGCAAGAAACTAGAATGGGAAGCAGAGCTGTGGCTTTATCCCAGGCACTCTGATATGAGATGTAGGTTACCCAAGCAGCACTTTAACCACTACATCAAATGCCCATCCCAGTACATATTTTCCTCTAAGGTCTTATATTTTTTTCTAAGCTTACAAATTTCAGACGCAAAGAAAAAACTAGGAAATTTTTAAAACCTGGTTGTTAAATTTTAGGGTCTTTGATTTCCTTGAAAGAAATTTCAAAAAAATACACCCTTGCTTGTTGTTTTAAGTGTACTATTAATGTTGCTAGAAGAGCATTTATCTTCTAAGTACTCTAGATGCTTCCAGAAAAACAGCCTTAAAACCTCCTAGAAACTTTTAAGTAACTTGAAATTTTCAGGGCCTGTCTTCTTGTCTCTAACTTAAATGTCCAATTTTATGTAAGTATACTGAACATTTTTCTCATGAGCAAATATACAGCCTAAACAATCCTAGAAAGCAAATAAAAATTCTCTTCCCCTAAAACTAAGGCCCCAAAACAGCAGATCAGTATTCTTCAAATACTAATTTTTCTTTCAGAAAGAACAAATTGTGGAAGTTTTTTATTGAAAAAGAAAATTTTTCACTATATTTTTGATTGGCCAAAAACAGTTAGAATGAAATTTTCTTGGTGCTTTAACATTATAATTTATCAGTCTAAAAATGCACCCTTGCATATGAAGTCTATATTTTACAAGATCATGTTTCTTAAATTGTGCACAAAAGAGACACACACATGCCCTAAGATTATGAAACTTTGTAAATCTACTCATATGTATTGTCTTTTTCTTTCTTTAATAAAATTTCCTGGTTTTATATTCATTCTATACCTGATCACAAGGTAACTTAAAACACATTTACTTTAATAACTTTTACACATTCATAAATATTTTTAAACCCCATAAATGCTTAACATTAGTATAGTATATCAAAGTCCCGTTCTTTTCTCTGTAAATAAATCAATTCTAATCTAAAGACTTGGGGCATGTGGGGAAGGGCAGAGAGAACACCACAAATCCTTCTGGCCAGTGAATCAAACGACATTCCCAGACATTAACTTTTCTTTCCAAATATGAAAAACATATTAAATCTGTATCTTACAGTAAGATGTTTTCCTCGTGTTTCCTTTGGGGAGAGTCTGCTGGACGCATTCCTCTGCACATTGTGCCGTGGAATTCTTGGTCAACTTTGTCATTTTTCCCCCTGCAAAGGGCAGTCTGTTGGATGAAGGCCAACATGGCTGTGATATCACTCATTCAACCAAGACTAACCGGGTTAAGTTCAAGCAAAAGTGAGTTCCAATGTGAAAGAATGAAAACGTATAAATTATACATGGACAGATACACACACACACACACACACACAGCCCATTGCATTACTTCTAAAGAAAAACATAAGATTCTCATTGTCTGTGTTTTGAAAAGAAGACAGCCTATGAAGGAAGACATAAGGCACTCACAGGATGCAAATGACCTTTACAACTGGTCAGTCTTCTATGGCCCGAAATTCTTCTTCCTCAAACCCAAGTGGCCATCTGTGTCTGTAATTAGGAGTGAAAGAATAAGAGATTTTTCAAGAAAACTTTTCCTAACTGTCATAGTACTTTAAGAAGCGAGTGCCAAAGGACTTGCATGCTCCCGGCCAGCCACATGGCAACCAAGAGCGTATGTGAGCGGCCATGTTGCTTGTGTTTGGGGAATGCTAACAACATCAGCTACACTCCTATCTTCCCAGCTCAGAAGTCCTGTGTCACTCTGATGATATCTTCCTCACAGTTTTTGTTGCCAGGCCTGTCAGCGACTGCCCATACTATGTCAACTGAAGCTGCCAATCAAACAACCGCTTTGAATCAGTGTCTTGCTTCCTTTAAGCAGCACTACTTCAAGAGGACACCACCACTGAAAAACACGGCTCTGAAGCAATCATTTGGTTCCGTGCGCACATTTTAATTTCATGCCCTACAGGGGGGGATCACAAATAGCCTTAAACAAAAATTGAGTCTTTAATGCTTTATGTCTTACACAATTCATCTTTCACGTAGTCTATTAGCTCTTAAAAAAAAAAAAAAAAAGATAGAAAAGAAAGAAACAGGGACGGTGCTGTAGTGCCCCAGCCTGCAGAGCCGGCATCTCCTGTGGGCACCAGTTCAAGTCCCAGCTGCTCTACTTTTGATCCAGCTCCCCGCTAATGTGCCTGGGAAAACAGCAGAAGATGGCCCAAGTCCTTGGGTCCTTGCACACACATGGAAGACCCAGAAGAAGCTCCTGGCTCCTGGCTTTGGATCAGCTCAGCTCCGGCCATTTGGGGAGTGAAACAGGGGATAGAAGACCTCCCTATCTCTGCCTCTCTTTCTCTCTCTCTCTCTCATGTGTGTGTGTCTTTACCTCTCTCTATAACTCTTCCAAATAAATAAAATAAATCTGAAAGAGAGAGAGAGAGAATAGAGAAGAAGAGAGAAGAGAAGAGAGAAGAGATGAGAGAAGCGAAGAAGGAAGAACATTTAGTCAGTACTGGGTATTCAAGGAACATTCAACTCCTAAATCTGAATCTCACAAATATTTCACCCACTACATTCTTATAAACAAAAACTAAATCTGTCCAAGTTCCTCTTCTCCTACTCACCTACCTTGTTTTGACCCCTACACAGTCAGACCCCCACACATTAATCCAACCATGTTGTGATCGCCAGAAAAGTATTCAGCTTCTGCTATCACAGATTCCAATGGGTTTTGCAGTGCGGACTATAACTTAAATTTCATAGAACAAAAAACAAAAAAGGACAAAAGAGGTATGGGGGTGGGAGGCAAGGGGAGGCAGGGAAGGAAAAAGCAGCGTGAGCGGGAGAATGCGTGAACGTGTCAGACGAGAAGGCCTCGCATCTGGGATGTGACACGGGCATGCCTGCCTGTCATCGCTGCCGGGAACACCTAGGGCAACGCTCACCTCCGCCTTTCCACCTTGGGTGTATTCAGGGGCTGAAATCTTAGGCTGGAGGACCAGCTGCCTTGGTCACCCACAGCAGCGTTGCGGCAACACTAAGCCCAGCAACGCACAGCTCTGGCAAGAACCCAGAGCAATGAGGGGCAATGGGCTACTGCCCAGCAGAACCACAGGAACTTCCAACTTCGCTTACGGTGCTCCTTCCAGAGGGGAAACATGTTTATATTGTAAAAAGTGCACAAGGAAAGCACTTCTTCCAGAGGCTTTTTTTTTTTTTTTTTTTGAAAAATTGTATTTACAGCCCAGACTTTCCTGCCCTCTTGTGGAGAAAACACAGAGCTCTCTCTTCCATCTGAATAGGGTGCCTTTTTCCACCGTATTTACTGGATCCCCTGACGTTCACAGAACTTTAGTAGCTGTTAATACAATAAACGAAATATAAAATCTCAATAACAAAGTAGGTTAAGTCAGGCGTTCTACAACAATAAACCATCCCATGTGGGACAAGGGAAAATCATAACAACTAGTTTTTAATAACACTGAGATATATGAATAAATATACTTTAAGTAACTAGGAAAAGAGAGTAAGAGAAAGAGTGAGAAGGGTTTTTAAAGTGACTGCCAGAAATCCCATGTCGTGTGTCCATCTTTTCACTCACAGAAGGGATCAGCATCTCCCTGCACGTGGACTGTTACTACGCACCACACTGGGCAGAATCCGCCTGAGACAGAGCACACACAGGTCCCAGCATTTCTGGTGAAACCAGAGGATTCCCAGGTTGCTTTTTTAAACAAAGCTTGCGGAAGTTGGTTTGAATCGAACGAGGGGGCACAGGCTGCGAGGCCGGGGCTGTGCACACCATCCTTAACTCCAATCCACGGCCAACTCACGCCATGGTGTAGGCACCAATCTGTCTTGGCCACCATAAAATTGTGCTATTTTTTCATTGTATTTATCATGTGCTCTGAAATTATCATGTTAAAGGTGCTACAGTAGAATTCAGGATTCTTCTTTTTTTTTTTTTTCAGAGTTTTATAAATGGGGGGAGGGAGAGCAAAAGAAAACATTATTATCATATAGACAAAATTATCATGGAAATGTCTTACAACTTCCAAAAGCCACCATGATCTATTGTAGACAAAGGCTCCTGGATGTTCCCTGAGCTTCCCAAGAACAATGCTGAGTGCCAAGGCAAAAGAAAGAAGAGAAAGGAGAGAAAGGAGAGAAAGAAAAGAAGGGGAGAGGAAGGGAGGGGAGGGGAGGGGAGGGGAGGGGAGAGAGAAAGAAAGAAACACAATCATGATCCCCATCTTCCATCACTGGCTACTGCTCCCTGGAACTGACTGACCGTGTGCAAGGGCTCAGTCCACTTGGGGAGACCAGGCAAAGGCAACAACTGAACAGCATATCCCAAATAGGCAACACAGACCCAGTAACAATAAATGGGCAGGAGAGGAGAGGCTGGAGCATCAGGGATTTCCTGAGGAGGAAGGGTGCAGTGAAAGAAAGGCCTGAAGAAAGAGGTGGAAAGGAAAAAGCCTGCCCCCGGCAGCACCAACTCCCGGGGATGCAGATGGAACAATCAGGCTCCCTGAACATCAAGGATGCCTTCTGCCAAAGAAGGCCAGAGACGCTGCACAGGTAGCACGGGACCAGGTTAGCAAGAACACAGATGACAAAGCCAGACTCTGCATTTCATCAGCGGGAAGCCTCCAGTGACATTGGGTGAGGAGTACTGAGAATGCTTCTGCAGACCCATCTGCAGAGAGGGTTTCCAGTGCCTGGGGGTGAGGGTGCATGGCGGGAGACTGTCCTGGGAGTCGTTGCAGTCATTCGGGCTGAGCTGGCGGGGAGGCACGGAATCCATGAGCTGCTGCCGGAGATGCACTAAGCGCCATGACTGGCTGACGGTAAGAAAGAGAAGAAAAAGTGCGCGAGGGCCAAATCCTGTGGGGAAAGGAGGATATGACATTGACAGAATCAAGGAGCTGGATGAAGAGAACACGCGCACGCTTTAAGTTCCCTGCCATCTTTCAGGTCAGACTTACATGCTTCTGTGTAACAGCTGTAACTGTGCCTCCAGCATGCCTGTTTTGAGTAAACTTGAAGTCTTATCATAGCTTTTTTTTAAGAAATAAAGCTTTTCAAACCACCATTGAAAATTTTATTTATTTTCCTTTCATTTGAAAGGCAGGGACTCAGAGAGAGCAAGACACAGACGGAGAGAGATCTTCCATACACTCGTTCACTCCCCAAATCCCCACAACAGCCAGGGCTGGGTAGGGCAGAAATCAGGAGCCAGGAACTCAATCCAGGTCTCCCATGTGGGTGGCAGGGACCCAACTACTTGAGCCACCACCTGCTGTCTCTCACAGTGCACATTAGTGGGAAGCTGATCAGCAACAGAGAACCTGGGACTAGAACCCTCACATCCCAAGTGGTGGCTTAACCACTGTGCCAAACATCCAGCTCTCAAATCATCATTTAAGAAAGACTCAGCAAAGTTATAGCCTTCTATTTACCATTTATCTTAAGTAAATATCAACAAGATGACCTCAATAATATGCCAGCCATCACCCATTGAATACATGAATTATTAGACTGTACCCCACAAATATGCATAAATTAAAAATAATGAAAACAATAGGCAAATACTCCATTAATACATCCTCATTTAAGCATTTATTAAAAACTTAATGTATACCTGGCACTGTACTAATTAGTACAAGGTATATTCAGAAAAATAAAATAGGGGTGGGCATTTAGCACAGCAGTTCAGACACTGCTTGGGACACCCACATCCCACATCATAGTGCCTGGGTTTCTGTCCTGGCTCTGTTGCTGATTCCAACTTCATACTAATGCACACCCTGGGAGGCAGCAGGTAATGGCTCAAGTATTTGAGTTCCTGCCACCCAAGTAGGGAGACCTGGATTGAGTTCCAGGCTCTGGCTTAAGGCTTGCCCAACAATGGCTACTGAGGGCAGCTGGGCAGTGAATCAGAAGATGAAGGATCCATTTCTTTTTTTTTTTTTTTTTTTTTTTTTTTTTTGGACAGGCAGAGTTAGACAGTGAGAGAGAGAGACAGAGAGAAAGGTCTTCCTTTGCTGTTGGTTCACCCCCCAAGTGGCTGCTGCCGCCGGCGCACTGCGGCCAGTGTACCGCGCTGATCCAAAGCCAGGAGCCAGGTGCTTCTCCTGGTCCCTCATGCGGGCGCAGGGCCCAAGCACTTGGGCCATCCTCCACTGCACTCCCTGGCCACAGCAGAGAGCTGGCCTGGAAGAGGGGCAACCGGGACAGAATCTGGCGCCCCCACCAGGACTAGAATCCAGGGTGCCGCGCTCCAGGCGGAGGATTAGCCTAGTGAGCCGCGGTGCCGGCCAGGGTCCATTTCTTTCTCACTTTCTCTCTCTCCCCTCTCTCCCTCTCTTTCTCTGCCCTTCAAATAAATTTTCAAAATAAAATATTTAAATAATTTAATCAGATTCAACAAACCTCACTCCCGATCCCAATTTTTACTAAGAGAAATAAAACAGGTATATAAACTTCTATTAATAAGGCAGAATGTGGACAATGATGTCTTAGAGGGAGGCTGAAAC